AAAAAAAAAAAAAAAAAAAAAAAAAAAAAAAAAAAAAAAAAAAAAAAAAAAAAAAAAAAAAAAAAACTCTAGGACAATTATACCAAAAATCCAATTTCGTCCAACTGTTAGGATATCTAGCTTTCACCCATCAAACCTAGGTTTTATTCCGGTTAATGGATTTTTTTTGTTTTTTGTTTTTTGTTTTTTTTTAGTTTCATCTTTTGTCACCAATTATATTTAAACATTACATAGGTTTGATAGGCACTATAATGGTCTAGTACAATAGTATCTTAGATTAAAAAGACTTTTATGAACTTTGTACCTTTGTTTGTGTTATGTTGTAGATATTTGGTTCATGTTCAACAACTCGGGTTGAGGTTATTCAAATGGTTAATGCCACTTGATCTGATTCAAATGATTAATGTGCTAATCCAGTTGAACAGTTACTAGTCATTTTGAAGGTCTTTCTTTTTCAACGCCATCAAGGCTTAAATCATTTAATCTCAGACCGTTGGGTTATATGTCCTAAAACTCATAGTTTGTAACAAAAACATATTCTATTTTCAATGAAGTTATTATTATTGTTTATTCAATAACAAACTTTACTGAATAAACAATAATAATAACTTCATTGAAAATAGAATATGTTTTTGTTTACTAATAAACAATAATAATAACTTCATTGAATAATAATATGTTTTTATTGTTTATTCAGTAAAGTTTGTTATTGAATAAAGTGAACTTTACAATCATTAATCTAAATCCAATAAACTAAGAACACTCTGGCTATAGTATGATTACTTGAACTATATGTAGAGACATAAGAGTGGATCAAGTTCAAGCATATATAGTCAAAATGATCTATAGTATAAGGATAAAGTTGAGTACCTTATTCTGGGGACACTATGGATGCGGCCCACTTTTGTATATGATATAAACAATGTGATCACTAAATTGTACATGTGGAGACATGTGAGTGGGAGCGTCCTATGCAATGAGTATTGCATAAGATCGGACCATGAAGAAAATCACTCTCACTTTATAATGTCGTTTACTGTTGAGACTGATTTTCTTTTCATTCGATAACCTAGGTAACTCGGTTTTAATCTTGAGCTAACCGTGAACTCCTGTTTATTCGGAATTATCCTTGGATTTGCATGGGTGAGAGTGGCTCTAGTTCGCTGACTCAATAGGCCTCCCATTTCAAGGGTAAGACTGGGTGAATGGCTGGGGA